ACTATTGTGCATATTATTATGAGTCATAGTTTATCGAACGTTGGAGAAAAACAAATTAATGTTAATATTGTGCAACACCGGTTGTCAAAACAGATAGTCATTTAGCCATCTTTCAGGTGCGTTCATTTTAAATGACGGGCTTTAAACAATAAATATATAAAAATTATAAGGCTGCAAAATTGAATTTAACAAGCAGAAAGCGGTGTTTTATAATACAGAGGGGCCCGTGAAATTTTCTTCTTTGTCAATATTTGCAAAATGTAAAAAAAAACTTTTTCTTTTAATTATTGTAGATTTTCATAATGGAATATTTTACGTATCTTATTGGTTTTATAATTTTCTAACAGATGGCGTTAAATGGATTTTAAACTTAATAATAATTATTTTTATTAAATAGTTTATCAGTTTATACGATGGAGAACTAGAAATAAATTGCAATTATTGCACCACTTTACGAGATTCCTTATGAATTATCTTTCATGACCAGTAAAATGACTGTAAGTATAGGGAAGCTCAAACAGACGGCCGGCTTTACGGACCGGGATATAAAATTCCGCATTAATTCTAATTGTAATTCTAATAAAATCCATATTAGTATGTATGTATTTATTTTACACTTAAAAATATTATATAAAGGAATATAAGGCTCTAAACTGACTTTTCTGATTTATTCAACAGTGGTTAACGCCAACATTATTTGCAAGAATTGGTCGGCTTGCCCGGTGCATTACCACAAACGGACAATAGGCAGGTGTAACGAGGAACCAATTCCGCGTTTCGTCCGATGGGTGTGCGTGCCGGAGGCCTAATTTTATTATTCTTTCCCTTCCCACATTTTTCATCCCATGAAGAGGAAACATTCCTCATCTCCGTCTATTAAAGTTAGGCAACGGCTCTGAAATTCCGTATGTCAGTGGGCTTGCTTTGATATTTCGGTAAATGCAAGTTGTCATTTTACATTAAAAAAAAATTAAAGTACTTGTTAAACGTGTTTTATTTTATAAGAACCTATAAAACCTTATTATTACTACAAGTTTGTATTGTGTAGGATCGAAATATAACGAAATTAGAAAACAAGCATATTCAAATAAAAATATATTTAAATTTAGACTTATTAAATTTTATAACAAAAAACAAAATTAAAACTTCACATAATGGAAAAAACGGCATAATTTATGGAGATAACTATTAATTTAAATCAAAACAGAAATAATGAAATATTTTTAGTGATTTATATTTACCAAAATGAAAAATATTAGCTGACCTCAATTATTTTGAGTTTGACAATATTAAACATTGAAGTAATCATTTTATCATAAATTAATACAATTTATAGCAATATTTTGAAATAGACCATTTCAATTATTTATCCTTTAATCCCATTTCATGCGATAGCTATTAAAACAATGATAGACTTTTCTAGTCCTGATGTTCTTTTTTATCCCATGCATTATATTTGTATCCATTGTCAGGTTCATTAACAAACTTTGGTGGACCACCAAGCTGTACAGTTTCTGGCAAATTCAATTCTTCATTTAACTTCTTTGCCAAGAAATATATTTCAGCCAGTGCAATTACCAAAGCACACATGACACCAAGCAGCAATCTGAATCCGAAATCTAGATTTCCAACCATCCATTCCACTCCTCTAAATCCAAAGAGAAAACCAGCAAAGATAGATATAATAAACTGGCCAATTGCAATAAGTTGACGATTTAATTGTTTCACTGAAAAAAATAATATAATATTGATCAAGGAACTTTAAAAAATTAACAAATTTCGACAGTGGAGACTTACTTTGATAGCTTATACTATCCTCTGGGAACCGCATTCTAACATTATCAACACTCTTTGTCATTTTACGATATTCTCTTGCTTCCATTTGAGCTCTCAGTTTAACACACCTGGCTTCTAAATCGGGATTTCTTTTAACAATACCATTTTCAGGCAATACAATTTGGGATCCTTCAAAGAGAACATGTAAATATGGAACATCTTTTCCTTCCTCTCTTTTTTTATTAATATAAATATATAACCAATCTAAGTCAGAGGTGTTTAAGAAAAGTTTATTATTCTTATCATCATCTTGGGTCTCTTGGACTTCTAATTCTTTCTTCTTGTTGTCCTTATCTAAATTATCTTTGTCTTCTTTAGGAACAGTCAATTCTTTTATTTCATCGGAATCTGTATTCTTAGATTCTTTGATATTACTAATGGTCCTTTTGACTTTAGTAATATTTTCTATATCTTTGCTATTTAGGCAAACCTCTTTCGCTTCAACCATGTTTTTAGATACTAGTTTTATATCATTCATTTTAATTTTTAAAATGTTACTAGGGATATCATCATTGGGTATATTTTTTATAAAATTACTTAGTTCTTCTGAGGGGAATATTTTTATATTTGTATCAACAAGGGAACCTTTAAGATCCATGGTTAATATTTATTTACTGCTGTTAATGTTTAACTTATGATTTAAATCAGTATATAAGTCACGAAGTTCTTCTTCTTTTTCTTCAAATGTATTATCAATTCTTTGACAATTAAAATTCATATCATCAATGAAACAATCCCATTCCTTTCGTCTTTTCTCACGATTTACAGCTTGCTTTTGTTTATAGATCTGAAATAATATTAGTATTATATAACTTAATAAACGAAAATAATTTATATTTTTAACATTGTCCTTAGAAACAAAAGTTTACCTCTTCCAAGTCAATGCAAGTTTTCTCAGCTTCAGCTGCTAATTCTCTAGTTTGCTCGATTTTTCTCAGCAATAAAGGAAGAACAAGTCCACCGGTTTTGGTAAGTTTTTCTATATGTGTATCCCTGACATCGGTAAAGTTCTCTAACATAGAGAATAGACTTTCAACATCACGATCTCCTCGCTTTTCCTGTGTAATTATCAATGTCAAAAAGCGCTATTTTTTTAGTTATAAAGGAATATTACAAGGAGGCATTGCAACTTGATGCTTTAATATATATCTTAGTTTGAATTGAGGTAACTTAAGTGAAATCGTTATGTTAATAATGAGATATAAATCTATAGTAATGAAAAAAGTAATTTACCTCAAACTCCTTTAACATATAAGTGATTTCACCATTCAAAAACGGACGATGATCAAACAAACGAGTCCAGATTTCCCCGATTTCTGTTGTGAACAATTTATATTAAATATTGTAGTAATGTTACATTAAATGCATAAACAAAAAGTTAATCATACTTTATTATCTTAAATATGAATTATGGATAACGATTAAATTTTGTGCAAGCAATTGACATCTTACTAACGTTATAATGCAATAAAAACGTAAAAAATTCAAAGCATACAACTCAGCAATAAAAAACCATAACGTTAATACCTTTTTGACGATAACATAATACATGAAACTTATTTCTGTTTAAAATCGTCAGGAATTATTTTACACAATTGATAAAAAAACATAAATAATAGACACGTACCTCGTGACAGCTCCGACATCTTATTTTTTCTGAATAAAATCCAGTCTCAAAAACTGGCAACATTGTTCTGGATTGAACTAATAATTTTTGGAAAAAAGTCTATGTAAATTATATTTTATTACCAATCTCTCTAGAATAGTAGTCAAGTAATTAGTTGCCCGAATACTTTATATTTTAATAATGTTTTGCTGATATAGCAGTGTTGAGGACTCGAACGGCTCGAAAGCAAAAAGCGGTGCTTTATGAGGTCTATGATAGCCCAGCTATCGAAGCTTTTTTAATCTACTCTTTGATTCTGTCAAACAAACATCATTCGTTCATTTCAGTTCGTTCAGCAGCAGTTGTGTCATTCATGATTTTTCGTGCGGGTGTGTTTAGGTGGAACAGTGTTTGCGAAATTGTTTTTATTTGTGTAGATGTTATTAATTTTCTACGATGCCTTAAGTGTATGTCTTTTGTTTGTTTACTGAATTAAGTGTTTAAATATTGAGTGCGAATGGGAAAAATTGGACTTTGATTTGTGTGGGTTTGTGCGATTGTGGTCATCATGCCGGGTCTTATTGGTATCGGTGAATTTATTGAGGAAACCCGAGAAGATTACAGTTCGCCAACCACTTCTACATTTGTGTCGCGAATGCCACAATGTCGACAGACTATCAACGCACTGGAAGAAGTAAGTATGAGTAAATTCATTAAGATATAATCACAATAGGTTCCTATGAATATTACAAACGTTCTGTAAATCCCATAAAGAATATCCTTGTTGAATAACGCAATCTAAAAATTCTCCCAGTCTTACATCATAAATTTAGTTAGATAGATATAAAAGAAACTTTGAAAGTCCAGACAAATTTCATGATCAGGAAGATGTTTAAGTTTTCATACAATTATATTTATGTCATTACATTGATCACATTACCAATTTGCTATCTGTATATCTTTATACACATTTATTAAAATTTATTAGTCTCTTAAAAAATACTAAAGGACAAAGCCAAAAAGTGTCAGTTTTTACTATTTTTCATATTTTAAAAATGGCAGATATAATATAATAAAAAAAATTTAAATCATTCCATTCTTCACTTTTTGAATTGCAGCTTCTTATAAAAACAAGAGTAACATCTTTCATGGGATCTGACCAAATGTAATGGCTGATAATACTTTATGAGAAAAAAACTAAATCCTAACTTGACCTAAAATAATTTGTAAGCAATGGTAGGGACTGGCATGAATGTTTTTATTTCCTTTTAATAGAGTTTCTAATATGTATACAAATAATCAATTAATATTGCTACAACATAAGAAATTCAAATGTTGTATTATTGTTTGAATGGCATGCTGGATTCCTCATGAAGTTAATACACTATTCTTTATGCTTCTTGGGCATTTTAAGAATCTTAATCATGTATAAACATAGCTTCTATTCTATTCTTTTAATCAGGAAAAATATATAGTGTGTATCACAAAATTACTTTGTTTTTACTTTGATTGTTATGAATCATTTCATTGTGAATATAATTGTCATATAAATTATAGTGTGGAGGAAATACATATATATGTCCTATACTTTGGTACAATGCACTTTATGACATTAGAAAATTGTTTTTTGTGTAACAGCAATAAAAAAATTGTATTTGAGAAATAATGAATACTCAGGTTTAAAAACCTTCCAAACTGTTACAACTACAAACAAAAACAATGGAATAGATGGACATCTGCATAACACCACACAGCTTCAAATATATGTGCAAAAACCATAACTCTTTTGTTTTTTGAAAAGATACTTAATTTCGAACACTTATTCTTCATATTAAAAAAAATGATCTGTGGTTATAGTAACTACTACGCTTCCCTGACGGTTCAAAGCGCGGACTACGGTCAACAACACGATGACGCACCGTATCGTTGTGAACACGGTGATTTCTTGTCATAACTCACAACGTGTTGTCGGCTTGTCGACGGTATCCTTAAAGTCGGCCAGAGACTAACGTAACTGATGCTTGACTTAAAAAAAAACGTACAAGTTAAGTATTGTAATTTTACAAAAACCGTCCAACCGTAATTTCCGAAAATTTAGTTATTTAAAAGGTGAATCGCTTTTTTCGAAATTTTACCGATCTTTAAAACTTTCGAATAAAAGCTAGACCGTAAAAATAGGTCACAACTCATCTAATAATTGTCTGCCTTTGCCTAACATTCCAAGCTTTAATATCATAAGTTTCATAATGACAGGGTTATCCCTACGAAATTACAATATTTAGTTATTTTATCGCCAGGCTATACTTTATTTAGGGCGACGTGCTCAAGTGGCCAACAAATTATCGTGCGGGATGCTATCGGCGTGGAATATTTATGCACGATGCCCTTTTCTATAATGAAGCACTTTAAATGTATAATATAAAACGCCGTTTTTTTTTACTTTTGTAAATATCTCTCTATTGATATAAATTGACTCTGTATTGATATAAATTAGGAAATGTATTCCGTCAGATTTAAGGTTGTAAGATCTAGTTTTTCACATTTTAGAACATTTGGTTTATAACCCGACTGATGCCGATAGGACGGCAATGTGTTTCACGGGTATCTGTTATATTAGGGACAAAAATATAGCCTAAAACGCTTAACCGATTTCACAGAGTAAAATTTGATTGGCATTTTTTTCTAAGACTGTCACAACCAATGCACGTTAACTTTTTTTTATATTTGCATTAAAATTTAATAATTATGATAAGCAAGAAACCGAAGGCTCTCAGTTTTTCTTGAGGTATAAAGCGAAAGTGAGTGCGTTTAACGACTTTTACTCGAACACCTTCTCCTATACTTACGAGTATCATGGCATACATGTTTTTTGAATGAACTTTCTCTTTTAATCATGTATGATTGAAGTGTATACGACGATCTGTTGTAGAGTTGTGGTAAAAGAGGCCGTCAGGTTTTTCAACTTGCAAGTAAACAAACTTTAAAAATCTAGGATGAGAGTTTTTAAGTTCAGGCAAACAAATATTACATTTTAATCGGGTCAACAAAAAGGACATTTCGTCGATACTAATTAAATAAATTGAATAGCTAAAGAAATTATAGAAACAAAACGTGTAATGATCGCGTGATAAATGTATAATTGAGGTCAATGACCATATTTAATGTTGTTATTGACCTCCTTATTTCTATGACAATGATTTAATTAGCATCAATAATTATTTCAAATGAAGATAGTAGAAAAATATAAATTATAATAGTTTATACAAAAATCAATTGAAAAAGTTCAAATTATTTCACAAATATATGTGTAAATGTGAGTTTTTGCGTAATCCACGTACGTATGAAGCCAAGAGCTATGAAACATATCTTGATGTTAAAAAAACTAAAGAGTAGTTTCATAAAGAAACTATCTTATCTTTCTATTTAGTTTCTTTAAGCATAATTCAAAGAATTTTAATCACATCACTTCATAATACTTGTATGGGATTAACTATGTGTTACAAAGTATGTAATAAACTTCTCTAGACAAACATTGATGCGCTTATGGTGCGAGGAGGGATGTAAAAAACATAAACAATGACGTAGTAACTGGTACCGTCAGCTGACTATCGGACCGACTGATCTCATTTACACTTCTTTGACCCGCTTATAATATACTACTTTCGTCACTTTCTACTTACGATATTCATTAGAAAAAATTAAGGTGTGCTTATGTGTACTTCCTCAATAAAATGATTAAGGAAGTTGTTTATTATCGAGGGATGAATTGACGGAAATTAATGTAATTAGGCTCGCCTGGTTTAGTTTACGGCCGGTTAAATTACAATACGGGTCTAACTTCGTGAGCTTGGCTTATAAAATGTGCAAACTTTCAATATTTTCAAGTTTCAAGTCTCTGGAGTAAAATGCCGCGACATAGAACTAAAATAGTTTTAAATTATACTTTTTTTTAGTAATTTAAATCGACTACAAAGGTAACAACTGTTATCTGGATTAATAGTTTAACTACAGTTTAAATAACTTATCCGTGTTTAATAAAAGTTTAAGCATAACTACGATGTTCAAACGTAAAAGGGCATGCATCGCTTGTTTGCCATGTTTCGTTACAAGGTCAACCGCTTTCCCTATCTAACGATCTGCCGTCGAAGCTTCCAGCAATTCTTACGTACATATTCGTTGCATATGCACAAACATTGTATATATAGACATAATATAAATTGAGGCTCCACTTTCTAATACGTCCCAATTTCCAAAAACTTTACTATTAAAAGTTACTCTTTTTTATTCGCATCCAATACTGCTTCTAGTGTGTAAAGTAATCCTAAACGTACTATATTGTTTTTACGGTATTTATTATTCTTGCTAAGTTTATATATTACATGAATAAAAGATCTTGTTCCTTTTAGTCTAGAGATGAAAGCTTGCACACTTTAATTTCAATGTACGTCTTAGCGAGGCCAACAGATATTAACCTAATATTGCTATTACAGGCTAATCTAATATAACACATTAAATGAATTATTTGTGCGAATAATCTTGGCAATTATTGAGGCGATTTATTGCGATAGCCGATTCGGCATTTATACAATTCAAACTGAGCCGAGTGTCTTTGTCTACAAAAATATAGCGACAAAAACATATTTATAATCGTTGTTATATTGTTCAAGTGTTTAACCGTGGGTTTCTGAGACCGAAATCCCCGTATAAAACATATTTTTCTATCTGTTTTGTTAAAGATGAAAGACGGTGATGATATATTTAATACAGAGATTTTTGGTGTCAGAAACACACGGTAAATCATTTTCATTTAGAAATTGGAATTTATTTGCTAATGACGATAGATTTTATTGATCATAAATATTTTATTTTCTTTATAACTCATTAATCTTTTTACGTCCTTTATCAGCGGAAGTAACTCGCATACTTTTAGAATGGTTTTAAAATTGCTGTACCTTGTCGTGTAAACGGATGCAATGATAATATCAAGAATTAAATTAATTAACAGTA